ATCTCCAGAATATATACTTTCATGGTTCATGTTAAGGAAACCCACATAAAGGAACATAAATTGGGAATGATCCACCCTTCCAAAAATATATGGAAAAAACTGAAATCAGAATTCTAGACCACATCCAGACATGACCCTTATGGATGCATTCTTTCAAATTGAACTTTTAGCCCTTTATATCACAGAATTCTACATTAATTATCTTTTTATAGACTTCTTAAATATAATACAGCCTGTTGCTAATAATTTCTTAACTTCAAGATCTAATACTTTCAATGTGTCAATATTAAGCTGTTATAAATTTATGTAAATATATATTTTCTAATGTTTGTTTCCCTTTCTGTATATATCTAGCTTATATGTAAATAAACACCTGGTATCTCTTTATAAACAAATGCAGTAGAGACAACCTGTAAAAGGTTTAGGGTAGCAGACATTAATCTTTAAGTTTGAATTGTCAAGACAAGGTAAACTAGTAACTAACCCCAAAAGAAATGTACCAGAAGAAAATGCTCCAAAAGGTGACATCTTGAGAGTCAATAGAGCACTGAACAAGACAAGTTCCAGAATAAAATCCCTAGTGCATGTATGGCTATGCCGGTCAAATTCTGTGATTACATTTTGCCTCCTTTCATCGTGACCTTTCAGAGAAGTGAATACTTAAAAGCTAGCTAGACCTCTGCAAAGTTTTTGGGAATGGAAAGAGGCAAAGTACTGGACTCTCTCTTTACATCTCAGAAATGTTTGTAATTATCCACCATGGCCACTTCCTTTCTGGACAATTAAGCCCATTTCTGCCATCGAAATAATCTCAAATCCTTTCATGTGTCCATTTAGGTAACTAGTTGATCTTCTGTCTGTCTCCACAAGGCAAGTCTCATCTCTTTTCCAGTACTCCAAGCAAACACTTCTCTGTGCCTCACTGACCAAAGCAAGATCACTTGTCTATAACTAGCTTTAAGAGATGGGAAAAGCAGTTATTTGACTTTTTCCAGACTCTAATGGGAGGAGGGACAAGCTAATGGGAGGAGGGACAGGAAGGGCCAAAAGGGTTAATAGATTGCCAATTGCACCCCATCTTCTTGCAACTTTCCCCTGTTCTCTCAAATGCTTCTTTCATGGCCTCTTCAAAACCCAACCACTATCGCCCGTCCCCCCCCCCTCCACAAATAGCAAAACTGCTCCTTTAGGGATCCCTTTTCACTTCTCAATGCAGTGTGTCCGAGATGATAACCTTTACTCAAATTTAAACATACAAAAAGAAGTGATGGATATCTTTTGAAAAAAGAGATCAGGACAGGAAACAAGGCCACAGCTCTATATAAGCAGCATGACATTCTGACCTGTAACAGTTGGTACTAGTGGCCTTTAGAGAAGACTACAATGAACTATTGGTCAGGAAATTCAAATCTGTGACAGATACATAAAGCAGGTCACATCCAATCACATGTGCTATTTCCACATTCATCCAGTGAAAATGTATTTTGCACACACCTATTAAGGTGTCAGGTAGTGAGGTAGGAGCTAGAAATACAAAGATGAATAGGGTAGCACACCCTCTTGTCATTATTGTTCACAGGGCAGTTGAGGCATAGTTCTACCTAATTGTTTTAATAGCTCTATTTTCACAGGAAAAGATATACGCAAATTGGAAGTTAATTCCTATTTTTGAGCCAGTATACATTGTTTCCAGTATGTGTTATTAAAAACAATGCAACAAAAAAATTTCTAAGTTATCTTTACTTACATATATGTATAATTCCTTGCAGTAAAATTCTTCAAAGACTTTATTTACATTTTTGAAACATGCCAAATTATCTTGTAAAATAATTGTCAATTTACAAACACTAAGAATGACACACAGCTCCTAAAACCCTTGCAATTTCCTGCATGATTAAATGTCTTCCGCCACCAAACACACTATTAGAGGATTGTTACTTTCAACGCCCACCACTTGACATCTGAGGAACATACTGAACTGGAGACTGGTTTATAAAAACTCTGGTACTGTGACCAACACAGACCTTCCAGGTTTTCAAACACATCAAGTTACATGAAAGATGGCATGCCAAAAACACATGGAAGCTCTTCACCATCTCCCCACCTTCTCAACACTAACTTATCCATCTCTCCCAATTTTCCTATTTCTCAGTTGTATCCTTTTTAACAACAAACTGCTAGTAGAGCTTCCCAGAGTTCTTATTATACTAGCAAATAATTAAACCCCCAAATTTGTAAGTACGCTAAGTGTGGGTAGCCTAGATTCCCATTTACATCTGCCACCTGATGTGGAACAATCTTATAGGATACAGGCCTTAACCTGTGAAGTCTGCTAGTTACAGGATTTGATGTCCAAATTCAAATGTCAGAAAATTGCAGATCTGTTACAGTAGGAAAAACGCCATTTTTGTTGTTAATCCTCACCCAAGGATTATTTTTTCCTTTGATAGATTTTTAGAGAGTAAAAAAAAAAAGGGAAGGGAAGGAGAAACGTCGATAAGAGCCACAAATTGGTTGCTTCCTGAACATGCCCCAACCGGGACAGAGATACCTGCAACCCAGGTAAATGCCCTTGACAGAGGATCAAACCTATGACCCTTCAGAGTGGGCTGATGCTCTAGCCATTAAGCAACACCAGCCAGGGCTAAATCCTACACAATTTGGTGTCAGGAAAAAAACCAAGATTTTCACTGCAGGCAGCTATTTCTGTTCACTTTTCAAATATTCTTTCTAACATGTAGTAACTAAATTTAATTAATAAGTCCACTTTTCCATATTCATATTAATAAAGATTTTCTAATTTTAATTCTAATAGGCGAACTAAATTTTTTTTTTAATCCTCACCCGAGGACATTTTTCCATTTTTGTTCAGATAGAGCGGGAGAGGGGGGGGGGAGAGAGAGAGAGAGAAACATCGATGTGAAGGGACACATTGAGTGGCCGCCACCTGCACGACCAACCAGGGCCGGGGACAAACTGCAACAGAGGTACGTGCCCTTAGCGGGAACCGAACCCGGGTCTCTCTGTACTGCAGACTGACACTTCAACCGCTGAGTCAAACCGGCCAGGGCTAAATTTTTAAAAACTTAGTATTTCATTTTACATATATGTATTATTGTTTTTGAGAAAGGAAGTGGGAAACAGGTGTGAGAAACGTGGAGAGATTGCCTCCCGCACGCCCTCTACTGGGGATTGAGCCAGCAACCTGGACATGTGCCAACTGGGAACTGAGTGAGGAACTCTCAATCCATAGGGATGATGCTTAATCCACTGAGCCACAACAGCTGGGCTTTTTTTTTTCGTTTAAAAAAAAAAAAATTTATTTTTGGACTGGTTGTTGTTCCACTTATGTAGGCATTCATTACTTGATTCTTGCAAGTGCCCTTACCAGGGATCAAACCTAGAACCTTACCTTAGTGTTATGTGGATGACACTAACCAAATGAGTTACAAAGGGCTCAAAAAAAAAAAAAAAAAAAAAGGACTTTTTTTTTTAAACATATTATTCACACTTTACCTGGTTTACTCAGATGCTATATTTTTTTTTTTACCCTCACCTGAGGACATTTTTCCATTTTTTGTTCAGATAGAGTGGGAGGGAGGGAGAGGAACAGAGAGAAAGAGAGAAAAATCGATGCGAAAGGGACACATCAAGTGGCTGCCACCTGCACAACCAACCAGGGCTGGGAACAAACCGCAACTAAGGTATGCGCCCTTAGCAGGTACCAAAACCGGTTCTCTCTGGGCCGCTGGCCGACGCTCTAACCACTGAGCAAAACCAGGCAGGACAAAACCAGGATTTTTAAAATGTAAAATATACCAAGCTGTTAAGCACAGATTACGATCATGGGTGATGTATCTTTTTTAGGTGTCCAATCTCTGTATGTTTTACACATTTAAAACTAAATATGCACCAGAATACCTGTCCAAAAATAAGTTACAGAAACCATATCTCAAAAACTTCAATGTCTTGATAAATGAAAAACTTGGGGGGAATCCCAGGGCTAAATCACAAAACAAACAGCGCTTGTCCTGCCCAATTTTAGCAGCAATCCTAAATCAGCTTAGTCAGAATCCCATCCTCAGTATCTGATTAATCTCAATGACAGTGAGTTTCTTTACTACTCATCCTATTCTCCCAAACCTACCCCAGAAGTCTTGTTAGGTTAGCCAGAATTTCCCTACCTTTATCCCAATTTTCTTTCCTCCTAGTAATTTTCAACCCACCAAACCCCAACTTATTCCTTTGCTATAAATTCCCACTAATCCACACTGCATTCAACTCCAGTGTTCAGCATATAACAAATTCCACATAGCAATCAGAAAGAGACTAACAACTATAAACTATATGTTATCTCAGATGTAGAGCCTACTGAAACAAACAATATAAATGACCTTAATATACACAAAGTTTAATAACAGATAAAAGCTAAGCACATTGTTAGAAATCAGAACTAACTGACAGTACTTACCTCTTTACACTGATAGCAGATTAACTACAAGGTCAAAGGACACAGGACTTCCTTAAATACTTTTTTTCCAAATGTTAACCTGCTGTGGCTCTTACAACATCTGTTAATTCACAGTAGCTGCCTATATCAGTGTGATAACAATGGATTACTAGTCAACAGAAGGAATCAAAGTTGGAGACTGGGCGCCTGTGCCATCTGTTATAACTGACCTGTTCCAAAAAACTCTTGATCCTTATGTAGACTAATGCAATGACTGTTACATACACGCCTTACAGCTTTCAGATAAAACCTTTCATTCAGATATCACAACCTTAAAGACATGGGAATACTTGTTTCATCAAAAAGAGGTATTTCACAAATGCTTTTGGTGGATAACCAGTAAATATCCAATAATCCAAAATTTCCAATTACTCAGGTTTTGAGTATAATTCCTATTCTACTTCTCTATTAAATCACAACTGACAGCAAAAGATTGTGTCCAACTTTTTATTTAGTAAAATAAGAATAAACAGCACGCGCAGTGCTAGGATCTAAAAGTAATACAATAAGCAATTACTAAACCTATAGTGATCTGAAGTTCAATGATCACAAGTCAGTATGTTTAAACCAATTCTTATTTACTGGCTGATGTAAAGGAATGTAAAAATCACAAATTATGGATATACACAACGATAACCACATGTTTGAGGGCTGCACATATGCCAGTCAGTGAAAACCAAAGCAAAAAAAATCCCACAGAAAACAGAAACACATTAACTGAACAAAACTCAAAACCTTTGAGAATGTGTTTAGAAGTGTATCATTAATATTTTAAGACAAGTTTATCAAAACCATGTCAAGTTTTAATTATAAAGTCACCAATTTTGCCTTATATTTTACCAAAGTCACAGCTAGTTAACATTGCCAATACCAGGTCAGCTTAATTTGACTCAAGTTTAACAGGAATCAACATTATAAGCTCACACTACCCTGAAATATATTATTTCACACATGGTGACATTTAAAAGTGCCAGTGTTTTTTGTACTGTCTTTTGGTCAAGTTTCTTTAAACGTTCAAAGAATCACGTTTAGGCTTACAAAAATAAATATTTGTCAAAATGTTCAATAAATATTACACAAACTAGCAGCAAAAAATATCTAAAATCTGTCATGTGCAAACAGTTTCTTCACAACTATCATTCCATGGTCCCAAATAAAATTTTAGAATCTAGTTTCTAAGCTGCATTCAACAATCTTCAAGAAGATAAAATGAGATTGAAATTTTAAGGACACACACACAAGACACATATATACACACACACACACACGTGTGTGTGTGTGTGCACGTGTACACACACACATATCTATAAAATTCTCTGGATGTGCAATAAAGTAAGTAATTTGTAAAAAGTTATGAAAAAGTGTACAAGTCTAAACCTATACCAATTGAAGTAGCACCATTAACAAATGACCTTAATACTGTCAACTGCACCTACTTAATCAAGTTTTAGAACAAGGCACAATGTGCTTGAAAATCTATTGCACTTTTAAGAAAATTTTGCTTTCTTACATAACCATAAAGATTAGTCAGTAAAGATCACTGCTTTATAGCCATAAATCAGCACAGAATTCAAAGTGGCAAAGGCATTTTTAGTGGTGGATAATCATCTTTGGCCAAATTTAGCATAAAGAGACTATAAATATAATGGAAACCCATGCAACTAAAATTAAGACTAAAAGTACACTATACAGAAATAACATCACGAGCAATTTAGTCCCTATTTCCAACCTGTGTGATCTCAAGGATCTGTTTGTTATAAAGTCTACAAATGTAAGCCATTTTAACATTTCAACACAGCTTAAACAAAGCAATGTGAATCTGCACTGAAATAAAGCCTGCTGTGTAATTATCCCTACTTGAATCCTCTTGACCAAAAAACATTAACACTAACATGGCTTTACAGACCAAAATGCAACCAGGCCCAGGAAGAGGACAAGTCATTGTCATTGGTCAGTCATTTTATCATTTCAATTTTTTTTGGCAGGCATTTAAATAATGTAATTAAACTTCCTCTGCCTTTTAAAATCATTTGAACTTTCCCTATAATAGTATGCCCAAACTTGCCTAGCTTACAATGACAAACACTGAAAGAGAAATTGCTATATTTACTTGCATTAACTTTGAAGAGTGCTTTGAGAAATGCATGGATGATTCATTCATACATGCCACCTCATCATGACTGGAATGACATTTAAATACTACAAGGTTCTAGGTACTTATCCAGAATAGAGTGAGCAAGTCAGAATTTTAACAATGTATTTGGCAACATTAGAAACGAATTCTGCTCAAGATGTTCTTCTCCCCAGTCTGCACATAACAAAAAGTCCTAACAGAGAGATTACTGCCTAAATTTTTTTAACCTTACAATATTTATTGATAAGTTGAAGAGTCCTGTTAAGTTGTATCATACCTGTGTGCCACGGTTTGGTTTTAGCCCATATTCAGTTATTTATTTTGTTCAAATAACTGCTATCTTGAGCATTACTGAGCCAACAGGACATCAAAATAATAAGCTGTCTAAAGTTAAAATTACAGTACATTAACAAACAAATGACTTCCAGTCACAAAACTGTAAATGCAGCTCGGGATGGAAAATAAACAGAATGGGAATTAATCCAAACTAGGGCAATTAAGTCTTTGAACCAACTTTTGAATAGGGCTGTTATTGTTCCTTTCTTCTTGTGACTTTGATCTTCCATGAATTTTCAGGAGAATCACAGCTGGTAATGTACTACAAGTTCTTAAAGCTACAGGATACAGTCTGGCTAAGTTACATGTGGTTTCCATATTAGCTTGTTTGAATGGGTGATCTTATTGCAGACCAGGTTCAGTTGCCCCACCAATCAACGCCCTGGGAGTTATAATTTCCTCCATATCCGTCACTACTGTAGAATCCTCCATAGCTTCCTATCAAAAAAATGTTTAGAAAGAGATTAGGTTAACCACTGTTATAATCAACCTTGTTTCTCAAGTCGTTTGATATATAAGGCTTAAAAAAAAAGTCTAGGACTACATCAAATTAAAGAGCTTCTGCACCGCCAAAGAAACCAGCATCAAAATGAAAAGGAAACCCACTGAATGGGAGAACTTATCTGCCAATGATACATCAGATATGAGGTTAATGTATCAAGTCCTCATGCAGATCAACCAAAGGATGACTAACAATCTAATTAAAAAATGGGCAGAGGGCCCTGGCCAGTTTGGCTCAGCTGGTTAGAGCATCAGCCTGCGGTCTAGAGAGACCTGGGTTTGGGTCCCACTAAGGGCACGTACCTCGGATGCAGTTTGTCCCTGGCCCTGGTTGGGTCGTGTGGGTGGGACCATTCTATGTGTCCTTTCACATCATTGGTTCTCTCTTTCTCTCTGTCCCTCCCACTCTATCTGAACAAAATATCAAAAAATGTCCTTGGGTGAGGTTAAAAAAAAAAAAGTCAGAGGACCTGAATAGATACTTCTCCAAACAGGACACCCAAATGGCCAGGACACATTATAAAAAAATGTTCAATGTCACTAATCATCAGACTGATACAAATTAAAATGACTATAAGGTGTCACATCACACCTGCTAGAATGGGTGCTATCAACAATCATTAAACAAATGCTGGCTAGTGTGTGGAGAAAAGGACACTGTAGTACAAATGATGGTAGGAATGCAGACTGGTATAGTCACTATAAAAAACGGTACGAAGTTTCCTCAAAAAATAAAAATGAACTGTCACCCTGGCCAGTTTGGCTCAGCAGTTACAGCACTGGCCCACAGACCAATGAGTCGAGGATTCAATTCCGGTCAAGGACACATACCTTGGTTGCAGTTCGTCCCCGGCCCTGGTTGGGATTGTGAGAGAGGTGGCTGGTCCGTGTGTCTTTCTCACATTGATGTTTCTCTCTCTCTCCCTCCCTCCTACTCTATCTGAAGATAAATAGAAAAATATCCCTGGGCGAGAATTAAAAAAAAAATGGAACTGCCATTTGTCCCAGTGATTCCACTTCTGGAAACACATCCTAAGAAGCCTGATACACTAATCAGAAAGAATATATACAACCCCATGTTCACAACAGTATTCAAAATAGCTAAGATCTGGAAACAGCCCAAGTGCCCACTTAGTAGATAGGTAAAAGGATAAAAAAAGGCCATGGTACACATTTACACAATGAAATACTATGTCGCTGTAAAAAAAAAGAAAAAAAAAGATCTCTTACCCTTTGAGAAGACAGGGAGGGACCTGGAGAGTATTATGCTAAGCAAAATAAACCAGTCAGAGAAGACAAGTATCACATGATCTCACTTATTTGTGGAACATAACGAACAAAAATCAGCTGACAAACAAAACTTATTCAGAGAAATGGAAGTAGGGAACTGACTGACAAACCTCAGAGGGAACGGGGTGGTAGTGGGGTGGGAAGAGATAAAAAAAACTTATATGCATATATGTACAATCAATGAACATAGATAACAGTGTGGTAAATGGCTGGGGGCAGGAGGGAGAGCAGGAGCAAGGAGGAGAGTGTTAATGGGGGGGAAAAAGAAAGACATCTGTAATACTTTTAAGAATTAAAAAAGAGCCTGGTCGATTTGGCTCAACGGTTAGAGCATTGGCCCGTGGTCCTGAGAGACCCAGGTTCAGTTCCCGCTAAGAGCATGTACCTCGGTTGCAGTTTGTCCCCGGCCCTGGTTGGGTCGTGTGGGTGGCAGCCACTCAATGTGTCCCTTTCATACCAATGTCTCTCTCTCTCCCTTCCACTCTATCTGAAGAAAACAATGGAAAAATGTCGGGTGAGAATAAAAAAGAAAGAAAATAAATCTGTAATGGATTTTGTGTTTTTTTTAGAAATAAAATGTCAATAAATTACACAATGGAAGTGTATGGAGGAAAAGGCTCTTTTAAAGTTATAAAAGAGGAAAATAAATATCACCTCCACCAAATCCTCTGCTGCTGCCATGTCCACCTCCACCACTGCGGCTGCTGCTTGCACGACTACTGCTAAAACTAGAACTGCTAGAACCACTACTTTGTCGATAGTCTCTGGCACCAAATCCTCCACTGAATCTGCTATAAGGAAAAACAAGGTGGAATGGTTTATGAGTATAAAATTAAATTAAAATAAAAATTCACCAAATGTAATCCCCACCCCTCCAACTCCAATTTCCGATTTTTCAACTCTTTTTCCTTGGGGTCAGTTCCTCTAATAATGTTTCCAAAGCAAATAGTAGTTAGAATAAAGGCTCAGAACAATCTGTACCTCTTAGAACGCCCACGACTGCTACCCTTATAGTGATGTTCATAAGCCAAATTTTCTAACCAGGACGGCACTTCTTGTTTGGCTTCAACAAGAAGATCCAATAAATCCTTTGTAATGTTTATATTTCTTTCATTAAAAAATGAAGTGGCAAGACCTGTTAAGAGTCCAAAAAAAAGTACATGTAGTCTGGGTTTACATAAAGTAGCCCTGTATTCTTACTTTAATATGTAGGTACTACATATTATAATATTTAATACAATACAAAATAAGTAAAACACAAGAATAAAACATTGTAATTTGGAAAGTAACACAAACTTTTAGTGTCTAACATATGGTGTCACCTTTCCCTTTGAAAATTAAAGTTCTAGTATTTGAGATTTTCTGTCAAAGCATCAAACGAAACACTTTACCAAGGTTTCCTACACGTCCTGTACGGCCAATCCGATGTACATATTCTTCAATATCACTTGGCAAATCAAAATTGATAACATGTTTCACATTTGAAATATCTAGTCCTCTTGCTGCCACCTGTAAATAATGTTTGTTTAAAAAAAAACACCAATATTCATACATGCTTAATTAAAAGATAAAAATATACACACAGCTGTAGCCACTAGAATTGGGCTTCTTCCTGAACGAAACTGGTGAAGGGCTTCCTCTCGATCTCTCTGTGACCGGTCTCCATGGATACTAGTACAAGCATATCCTTCATGATATAAGAAATCCTCCAGAGAATCAGCACCCTTTTTAGTCTCCACAAACACTAAAGTCAGTGAATCTCTCCCTGAAAACAAAAAAATAAAGGTTTTTTTCCTTAATAGCAATTTAGCTCCAAAAACATCTAACTTACACTATTATTTATCATTTCACCTGTTGCATTTAACAGATCAAGCAGAAATGACCGTTTGTCTGAGTCTTCCACCCAAACTACTTTTTGTGTGATGTTCTCAGAGGTAGAGCCAACTCTTCCTACAGCCAGAAAGATATATTCATCCAAAAAATCACGAGCAAGCATCTGAAAAAAGAGGAAACCCTAACTTATTAAGTACTTTTGGTTTTTCTAGTTGTCTAAAGATGTATTTACATGTAAACAAAAATGTTCTAAAAGGAACTTTATCAAACAATACCTGTATTTCCTTAGGAAAAGTAGCACTAAACATCATGGTGTGGCGAACACCCTTTGGTGGCATAGTATCTTGTTCAACTATACGACGTATCTGAGGTTCAAACCCCATATCTAGCATCCTATCAGCTTCATCCAACACTAAGTACCTGTTATAAAAAACTTAGTTTAGAATTTGATGAAATAACCGACCATAATAGTCATCCTAATGTTCTAGCCTCCCATTTCAACACATGTGGAACAAAAGACCACACAACCAAATTGGCTATTAATTTTTCCAACAAATTATAGTTATAATTTTCAATAAAAAATGCAGACTTCAGGTCGAGATAATGGCATATATAAATGTAATACTTGCCTCCTCCCACAACATCAAAATTACAACTAAACAACAATAAAAAGCCCCGCTAGAGTGGCTCAGTGGTTGAGCATTAACCCATTCAATTCCTGATTAGAGTACATGCCCAGGTTTGCAGGCTCGATCCCCGTTAGGAGGCATGCAGGAGGCAGCCAATCGGTGTTTCTCTCTCTCACATAGATGTGTTCTTTCTCTCCCTTCCTCTCTAAAAAAAAACCAATAAAAAGATATTTAAAAATAAACTACAAGTACCACCACCATTCAGAACTGCCCGAAATGTAGCTGAACAGAAGGGAATTAAAGAAGACCCTCTGAGACTGGTAGGAGGGACAGAGAGTGAAAAGAAATAGTCCCACACCCATGTGTGGCAGATACAAATCAGGAAGATGATATTAAGGCTGTGAGCACCCTCCCCACTGCACCCCTGCCCCAGAGCAGGCCTCTCAACATAGGGTTCCAGTGCTAGAAATAGAAGTCCACATAATTTCTGGCTGTTAAAACTATCAGGAAGTGTGGATGAGTGAGACAGAGGCTGCTGGGAGGCCCAGGCAGTTCCTCTTCAAGGTCCTGTGCACAGACTTACTCTGAGCTGCATCACAGGGGAGCAGCCTAAAAGGCAACAGAAGCATACAGAGAGGAACTGAATGGTCTGGCATCAAGGTGAGGACTGGGGGTGAGGTAGAGCGCTTTCTCTGAAGTGCTGGCCACTGATCCTTTGATGATTCCTATTACCCCTAAAAGTCTACCTACATCTAAAAGTCTACCCCTAAAAGTCTACCTACATCTGATACTCTATCAACCTGACTCACAGTGTTATTCCTACCCTGGTGATTCTGAGGCTCTGCCCCCACTCAACAAGTGGTTTCTAGGGGCTTTTCTATACAAATTGCCTGTCTTGGCTCATCCTCTAGATTCTAAAATCTCTCCAAGCAGCATCTGGCCTTTGTTGCCCTGTACCTCTTGCTAACTGGCCCCAGGTCAGGCACTAGCAGCAACCAGCCTTGGTTCACAGCTTAACTTCACCCACCTAGGCAACTCCAAGCCCAGCACATCTACATATCTACATCCGAGTAGCAGCCATCTACAGATTGCTTTGTAGCTCATACCGGGCAGAACATAGGTATCACACCTCTTGGGAGGCCCAAAGTCTATGCACCCAGTGGACAGCTTCATACCATGTTGAAGTATCCAATCACAAAACACTCAAGGGGTAAAAACTCAGCAAGCATCAGAGCCCTGTTGAAATAAGTCCTGCTCTGTGGGGTCAGAACCTACACAGCTGATCTTCCACAGTGGTTGGAGGCTGGTGGTTGCTTCTAGTCCTTGCAGCTGACTGACCCACAGTAAATTTCTCATATTGACATGCCAACAGGAATAAAGGCTCAACTATAAGAGGAAATTATGCACAGCCCACACAGGGAGGAGGGCCACACCTTGAGTGCCCTGTTTGGGCGACTGGGGAGCTGTGCCACTGGACCCTACAGAATACCTGCTATGTTTGGCTATATTACCAAGGCTGACAGATGTAGCAGCTCTACCTAATACACAGAAACAAACACAGGGAGGCTGCTAAAATGGAGGAGACAAAAATCTATTAGATGTAGATAGAGTTCATAACACTGGTTATAAGGATGCTCAATGAACTTAGTCAGAATCTCAACAGCATTAAAAAAAAAAAAAAGCCAGTCAGAAATGAAGGATACACCGAGTGAAATGGAGATGTTTTACAGGGAATCAACAGTAGAGTAGATGAAGCCAAGAATCAAATAAGTGATTTGGAAGAAAAGGAAGCAACACCTACAGAATAAAAAAAGAATCCAAAAAGGGAAAATAGTGTAAGAAGCCTCTCGGTCAACATTAAGTGGAACAATACTCGCACATCATGGAGGTGCTAGAAGGAAAACAAAGAGAGAAAGAATTGAAGACCTATTTGAAAAAATGATAGATATCTTCCGTAACCTGGTAAAAGAAATAGACATACAAGTCCAGGAAGCACAGAGAGTCTCAAACAAGAGAACTCAAAGATGCCCACACTCATTATAAATAAAATGACGAAGGTCAGCCCTGGCTGGTTTGCCTTAGTGGTTAGTGTAAGCCTGCAGACTGAAGGGTCTCAAGTTCCTTTCTGCCCGGTCAGGGTCATGTGGGAGGCAACTAATTGATGTTTCTCTCTCTTGCCCCCTCACCCTTCCTTCAAAAGGTTAAAGACAAAGAGAGAAATCTTCAGAGCAGCAAAATAAAAACCATTAGTTGCCTTCAAGGGAGCTCCTGAGGACTATCAGTTGATTTCTCAACAGAAACTTTGCAAGCCTGAAGGGAGTGGCAAGGAACATTCAAAGTGATGAACAGAAAGGATCTATAACCAAGATTACTCTACCCAACAAAGGTATCATTAAGAATCAAAGAACATATAAAATCATCCCAGACAAGAAAAAAACTAAAAGAGTTAATCACTATCAAACCAGTATTGTTACATGAAATGTTTGAGTTTTCTTTCATTTTTTATCCTCACCCAAAGACATTTTTGCATTTATCTTCAGATAGAGCGGGAGGTAGAGGAGGAGGAAGACAGAGAGAGAAACATCAATGTGAGAGAGACACATTCACTGGTTGCCAACCATACAACCCCAACCAAAGTACATGCCCTTAGCGGGAAATGAACCCAGGTCCCTGTGGTCCATGGGACGACGCTATTTGAGTTTTCTTTAAGAAAAAAATAGAAGATAAAAATATGAACAATAGCCCTGGCCAGTTTGGCTCAGCGGTTAGAGCATTGGCCTGAGGTCCAGAGAGACCCAGGTATGGCTTAGTGGTTAGAGAGTCCCGGGTTCGGTTCCCACTAAGGGCACGTAACTCAGTTGCAGTTTGTCCCCAGCCCTGGTTGGGTTGTGCAGGTGGCAGCCACTCAGTGTGTCCCTTTCACATCGATGTTTCTCTCTCTCTCTCCCTCCCGCTCTGTTTGAACAAAAATGAAAAAATGTCCTCGGGTGAGGATAAATAAATTAATAAAGTTTATATTTTAAAACTATGAACAATAAAACGGCAATAAATACATATCAAATATTAAATCTAAAAAACCAAACAATTAGAAAAGAAAAATAAAAAATTTTAAATAAGGTTAATTTTAATTTTCAGTATATATTTAATTAAAATTACTTTTTCATCTCAAAATACTATGAAATGTTATAAAATGACCACTAATATTTACAAAATATTGCATCCCAAATATAAAATTAACATACTTGCAGAAGTCTAATCCAATCTTTCCTCTTTCCATCATATCCACTAAACGTCCTGGAGTGGCAACTAACAAGTGACATCCACGTTCTAAGTCTCGAATTTGCTGACCAATATCAGCACCACCATAAACCACACAAGGACGAACTCTAGACCGGTATGAAAACTATAAAAAAGAATTTATTGGGTGATCATGAAAACATTAGAATAAATTAAAATGCCAATTATCTTTAAAATGGATATTTACTTTTCTGGCTTCCTCATAAATTTGTACAGCCAATTCTCTTGTTGGTGCTAAAACCAAGGAGATCGGGTATTGTTTACGACGTCCATACCTCCCAGTTTCCTAAGAAATAAGTACAATTTATAATTAGACGCAAAGACCTAAAACTTTTGTTCTTTTTAAAAGTCCTAACCAAATAGTCCCGTAACAATTACACTCTAAAAAACCTCAAGTTTTCACTGGAGAAATGAAAAGAAAATGTACAGAAATGTAAATATATTTGGTATAGTTTAGATAGAAAGGACCCAACAGGTATTTATAAGATATTTTTCTAAGAAAAAACTTATTTTATACAAAATCCTTACCTTCACAGCCTTCAACGCCTCTCCAGGACCATCTGTATAAATTTGACTCAAGATGGGCAAAAGAAATGCTGCAGTTTTTCCAGAGCCTATTTTTAAAAACTGACTTATTAATTGTGAATATTAAACATTCCAAATGCTCTTTTAGTAAAAGCTAATTTACTTACTCTAACACATACATTTTCTGCAAAGTATGGTATATTTACACAGCTAAGCACCCAAAACCAAGACTACTGTGACTCATTTTATTTTAAAGATTATTGAGTTTTAGAGAAAAAAGTAGAGAGAGATAAATATCCACGTGAGAGTAAAGTATCCATCAGGTGCCTCCTGCAATGTCCTTACCAGAGATGAAACTAGTGATCTCACCAGTGCACCAAATGATTGCCAAATGCAGCCACACTTGCCAGGATGTGTGATCCATTTTAATACAATCAGTGCTCATTCCTTTGACTTTTAATTAGTACAAAAACACAACAATTTTGCTTATAAACTGGCATCAACTTCCTTTTCAGTACTTTTTTTGTTATACACTGTTGTTATGTAAAGCAGTGATCAGGCAAGTTTCTGAAGAGTCTAATTGTAAAGGATTTGTAAAACAGTTCGCTCCCTTTGTAAAATAAAAGCTATAGGTAAAGTTATTGAAATAAAACAAGTGTTGATTTTGGTCCTTAATTGCATATAAAAAAATTCTCTTTTTAAAAGAAGAAAATATATTACTCATGACAAGTGATTCAAGTTTTACAGATTAACTATCCCAGCCCTCCCACTCTTCAATTTCCAAAATACTAGACGGAAACACCTTTTCTTTATCCCCACCTACATTTTTATGGATCATAGGCTCCCTGATTTTATATTTCCTATTCCAATTATAACGCTAGCTTTCCCTCCACTGCATTTAAAAATTTTACCCTGTTACAGTAATACCAGGCTGAATTAATACATACTTTCCCAAGACACCCTAGTTTGGATAAAAAGAACCAGAGAGGTAAGATAAAAAAGAGACATTTCCACTTAATCTTTACCTAACTCAAAATAATGTTATATATAAGAATCAGACTTCATACAAAATAAATTATTTTTAGAGTGTGCTCTTCAGTTAACTTTTATTCTTTATCAAGTGAGGTTACCTGTTTGGGCACAAGCCATCAAGTCTCTTTTTTCTTTGATAATAGGAATGGCATATTTTGGACTGGAGTAGGACGAGTATAACGAGTAAGCTCAATGTTCCCCATGACAATTTCTCCCATTTCAATATCGCTGAACTGTCAAAGAAATTGAACCAGGTCAATCAGACACACATACAACTATAAATGTTTTATCTGCTGCAATCTGTTTTATACTAACATCAGTACAAAAGTACCCAACTAAATGTCTAGTTGTGACTGAGTTTACAGTTGCTTTGATTTTAGGCAAAGGTATCACAGTATTTTTTAAGAAAACTTACCGTCTCCTACCCTGGCCAGTTTGCTCAGTGGTTAGAGCATCGGCCTGCGGTCCAGAGAGACCTGGGTTCAGTTCCCACTAAGGGCATGTGCCTTGGCTGCAGCTTGTCCCTGGCCCTGGTTGGGTCGTGCAGGTGGCAACACTCAATGTGTCCCTTTCATATCCATGTTTCGCTTTCCCTTCTTCCCTTTTTCCCTCCCACTCTATCTGAACAAAAAAATGGAAAAAAAAAAGTCCTCAGGTGAGAATAAAAAAAAAGAAAACAGTCTCCTGAGTCTAATGTGCAATAAAGTAGTTCTTACTATGGCACTTTTTCCACTACAGGATTACTCATAATGGTGACATTAACTTTAAAGAGCTGTAAAAAATAAAACAACTTACACTTTCAATATGTGGAGGACAGTTACTGCCAGTTGCCTCTACTGGAATATCATCATATTTCTCAAAGTTAATCCCAGTGTTTCCTCCAGAAAATAGTTCCCTAAAATCAAATGATTATTACAAGTTATAACAAATAGTAAGTTTCACAACAATCAACATACATTTCAAAACTTACTGCTCCAAACGTTCACTTGGTGGAAGTGGTTTGACCAATCATCTTCATCTGATTTGTCACACCATCGACTGTGTCCACTGCGATCAAATTGCCAAAACCAGTCCTGTCACCGCGACTGCCAACACCATCATAGTCACTCCGTCCACGATCATCAAACCTGAAAAGAACAAGCAACTGATCAGAGTATGTCATTAGCCAATATTATATGAGTAGCTTTCTAGACATGTACTTGTATATTAGCTGAATTGTTAGTCATAAGAACCTTGCAAAGATGTAAACAATTCAATATTGATTACCTCATTTGTGAAAAAAGGCTCTCTAACCCTGGCCAGTTTGGCTCAGCGGTTAGAGCGTCGGCCTGCGGTCTAGAGAGACCCGGGTTCGGTTCCCACTAAGGGCACGTACCTCAGTTGCAGTTTGTCCCCGGCCCTGGTTGGCCGTGCGGGTGGCAGCCACTCGATGTGTCCCTTCACGTCGATGTTTCTCTCTCTCTCTCCCTTCCTCTCTCTCCCTCCCACTCTATCTGTACAAACATGGAAAATATCCTCACCCGAGGATACAAAAAAAAAAAGGCTCTTTACTTAACCAGTGGTTATTGTATAATTTATATATCTTTAATTTTAAAATAAAAACAGCATCTTTTAGAGCTATTTACAATATTCTCAGCTTCAACAAGCTGTTTTATAATACTTTATAATTAGCACATACTTTACATCTTCATTTTATAATCATCTAAATATACTTAACAAGAAAACAAACAAACAAGTAAAAATGAATGTCAACTATCCTGGTTACATTTGGATATGCAGGAAAAGCCCCTACGTGACAGGACTTAAATTAAGATTCATTTATCACTCTTGTGCAGTCATAAAAAATGTTAACTGGCACAGAGAAGACATACATAATTTAAATAAAAGTAATAGATCCATATGTCAAATAGCAATCTTCTTATTGCATGTAATTATTTTTAACAGAGATATAAAAACCTGGTAAGGCTTGATTTTAGAATCAAGAATTAACAAACCAACACTTTGCTTAAAACCCGTAATAGAAAGATGGTCTGTTAAGGGGGAAGAAATCTTGACTCACGATCCAGAAAGTACAAAGAATGAAAATACATCAAATTAAGAGTTGATTCCTAAACTGTTACTTGCAAGCTGAGAATTTACCTTCCCCTTGATCTGCTTCCACGATCACTGTAGTAACTGGACTTTCCTCTTGAATCCCGAGACCCAAAACTGCTATATGCATCCTTATCTTTACTAGAACTCCACCCTGAATTGTCTTTATCATGAAATCCTTCCAAAGAAAGCAAAAAATTAGAAGTTGACAATACTTTAAGGAAGAATCCAACTTCTCAGTAAGTGGTTGTTTACAGACAACTTACCTTATGGGAGGGGGCCACACACCAAATGTCAGGGGGATTATTTTATCAAAATATTGGTGAAAAAAAGGCAAGATTAGATAACTGATTACCCTCAGCAAAAAATTCTTTCTACCATCTTTAACCTTCTTTCCTTCTAAAATTGTATTAAGCAAAGTATTATCATGGTCTAAAAACAGTATGCTGAATACCACCACTAATAGATGAACAAAAACAATAAAACAGGCACCTACTATAATGAGATTATTTTAACCAAGATTGTAGCAAGACTTTTTAAAAATGAATTTATTGGGGTGACACTGGTTTACAAAGCCATATAGGTATCAAGTACACGACCCAGCTCTAAGTTACCTTTTGGTCAGGTCCTATCCTTAAATATAATCTCACAAACCCTGAATAAAAAACTGACTTAAAATATACACTATGCAGAAAATACAATACACATTTTGAAATTCCCAGCTAAGTATAAGGTTACCTTCTACAGTCAGTTACACCTAGAGAAACTTAAATGAAGAGACCTACTACATAATTACCATAAGAAAATAAATGGACAAGACATTTCAAGATTCACAAAGTAATTATAGCACTTGAATATGCTCCAACTATTCTTTTGGGCTTTGTGTAGTACATGGCAATGGTAATAACAGGGATTATTCAACAAAAGAACTTGTGGAAGGTGACATGGCAGTATCAATAGCAATGTAAATATGACAAATCAACTGA